CACCGGTAACTGCCAAAGGACTCCCCAAGACTCAGCCTGAAAGGCGCCTTCAACTCTAAACGGAAACTTGCCCCTAGAGTCACCTGTCAGTTAAATTAAAAAAAAACTGGCTCCAAAAAAAAAAGAATGAGGATCGCTTATAAGTATGGTGCTCCCTTTCAAAATCACCTACACGAATCCAAATTGTCAACAATTAGTTCCAAACAAAGAAGAGAACGTTAGGGGGTAGGGAAACCAGATGAACAGGGATGAAACCACCTGAGTGGAAATGACAAGAATGCTCACTCACTGTGAGAATGTCACCAGTGCCACTGAGAAATGCATGGAGAGGTGATTGAACAGGAGCCCAAACTGCTGTGTCAACCTTCCCCCCAAACACAATAAAGTATTGTTAAGATCACCTTAATAACAATTCCCAGAGACCTACCCTAGGAAACAAGAGATGGATGGAGTCTGTTTGGAGAATCCAGGAGCTCCTACACCTCCAGACCCTTCTTATTTCCAAACACATGAGACCCTAGAACCAGAAACTTGTTTTTATTTTAGTCAAGCAACCTGGCAGCCCAGGTCAGCCCACCTGCTGGGTCAGCAGGGACCAGAAGATGCTGGAGGCCAGAGAACTGGGGCTAGGCAGGCATGTGGTAGGAGAAGGAAGGAGCTGGGAGCAGGTGAAGGGGATTTCTGGGCGTTTTGAAATCCAACCACTACTATGCAAATGAGAGCAGCCCAGCATGCAAATAGACAGAATCAAATGGAGACAGTCCACATAGGGGGAGTCCCAGTTGGGGGATGAAGGTTCTTTTGGAGGGAGCAGGGGGCCCTGTGTGCCCAAACCAGCAGGGGTGGGGATTAGGGCCTGCCGTCCTGCTGTCAGGTTAGAGCTGATGGATCGCCACCGCTGGTGGCTGAGCACAAAGGCCGCTCTGTGCTTGGCACCAATGTGCTCCCATCCATCAGAGGGCAGCTCGGGTGGGGTGTGCAGGGGAGGAAGACAGAGCCTGCAGAAGCAGCTTCTCCTCAGCTTGGCTCTGGGGAAGGAAGAAGGCAAGTAAGGGGCCGGTCTCCCCACCCAAACACGGTGTAGAGGACGTCAGAGACACCTGAGGAGTCCCTGGGTGGAGCAAACAGTGAATGCTCTCAGCTACTAACTCAAAGGTTGGAGGGTCAAGTGCACCCAGAGGCAGCTCGGAAGACATGCCTGGCGATCTACTTCTGAGAGAGCAGCCATGGGAACCCAATGGAGTTAACATGAGTTGGCGTTGACTTAAACACAACTGGTGCTGGTGGAAGAGATACCGGCTATCTAGACAGAGTTGCCCTCTCTTTGCGCCTGACTTCTCAGCCCGGCCACCATGGTCAATCAGATGCATACCTCACATAGACACAGGCACAAGGCTACACTCACACCCAGGGGAGTTTCTTGAGGGCAGGGGCTGAGTCTAGTCTCTAAATAGACTAGGTTCTCTGAAAATACATGTTGAGAAGGAATGAGTGAATAATTCCTTCTTGAGTTCTATTGGCACTTTTTCTAGCCAAGTCTTTTTTTTTGGGGGGGGGGAGGGGGATCTGCCGCTTTTCCAGGTGCCCTGGTGGCACAATGGTTAAGCATTCAGTGGCTAACCAAAGGGTGGCGATTGGAACCCACTAGTCACACTATAGGTGGAATAACCTGGTCAGCTGCTGCTGTAAAGATTCCAGCCTGGGCAACCCTATGCAACCTTCTACTCGGTCCTACAGGGTCACGCTGAGTCTGCATCTTCTCGAATGGTGCAGGATCACTACTTTCTCTCTTGAACAAAGGACTTTGGGTACTTATATTCCTTATTCAACAACGAGTACTTTGAAGACCAGAAGAATGGGTCTAATTCAGGTTCATGACCCTAGCACTCGGTACAAGATGCATGTTTCATGGTTGAAAGAAGGAGTGAGTTAGTCTAGGCACGCACAGTGGAGTAGGGGCTTTGCTCCCCTATTTCTATGGCTCTGGTTCCCTGGAGGCAACCGCACAGCCAGAGCAGTCGCCTGAGGAGAACCGTGGGTCCCAGGGTGTGAGTGGTGATGGTCAGGAGTGGAGAAAAAGACAAAACAAGAAAAGGGTGGGGAGAGAGGGGGGGAAATGAGGAGCTGATGCCAGGGGCTTAAGTGGAGAGCAAATGTTTTGAGAATGATGAGGG